TATATATAAACAAGTCTAAATTGAAAACAACGTTCAAACCTATGATTGCGTTGGATAAAAACCGCAATTTTTATACGTGTGCATGCAAAACAAATTTCTTGTTAGAGGGGTCTAAATACAGCACAAACAACATTTTCCAAAAGACCAAAAAAGTGAAAAAGTATATTTGAACAAAACGCATTTGACTAACAGGTCGAACAACTAATGTTCTTAAACCCTGCTGACTGCCATTGGCGATTGTCAAATAAACGGGTCACCGATGTAATAAATGGATCTTAATCATAAATTTAATACTAAACAGAAAACAATAAACTTGCGGAAAAGATGGTATACCGCAAACAAAAGGTGCAAAGGTTTTTGTACACCATATCCGGATTTCGACAAATAATGTCTCTTCAGTGATGTTAGGAATCGAAACGGTATTTGAAAAGCCATACAATTTATCTCTATTTAGGAGAGACTCTTGAATTTTGAGGAGTCAAAATAGGATGAACGGATCATATAAACCCGAAGGCAAATATAATACAAGCCCAAACGAAAAAATATAAACAAGTCTAAATTGAAAACAACGTTCAAACCTATGATTGCGTTGGATAAAAACCGCAATTTTTATACGTATGCATGCAAAACAAATTTCTTGTTAGAGGGGTCTAAATACAGCACAAACAATATTTTCCAAAAGACCAAAAAAGTGAAAAAGTATATTTGAACAAAACGCATTTGACTAACAGGTCGAACAACAAATGTTCTTAAACCCTGCTGACTGCCATTGGCGATTGCCAAATAAACGGATCACCGATGTAATAAATGGATCTTAATAATAAATTTAATACTTAACAGAAAACAATAAACTTGCGGAAAAGATGGTATATATATATAGCTGTGGATGAAATTGTTTGTTAATTTTACGGGAAACAGCCATACTCTCAATTTCATAAGCTTTGAAATTAACAAATCACTGCTTAGACCAATAGTTAAATTTTCCTTCAATCTTCATTAAGCTTTAATGCTTAATTTCCTGGACTGTGCTCTATAATATCCAAACCTGTAACACCTGCATACAGTTTTATGTTTAATTGAATTTCAGTCGAAATATATTTTATAAAGATTAAGAAGAAAGAGAGTACCACGAATTGATCCTGAAGGAAACATCGGCCTGAATCTCTCATCACTCTCATGACGTTTTGATATTAATATTAACTCATTGTTTCCTATCACTTAATTAGTCTTTTACCCAGCGACACAACTGACCTTTATAAATTATGTAAGGTAGTCTCTATGTACTGTTTTAACTGGCAAGAATGATGCAAGCAATGCTTCTAATCACAAATGTTCCTGTATTCTGCTGAGATTTTAAAAAAAACATGAACGGTAACAATTTTACTACACCAAATGCGCATTTCGACAATATATGTTTCTTCAGTCATATTCGAATCCAAAGTATTTGAAAATCCAAAACCAAAAACAAACGTTGAAGAGCTGAAAAAATGACTTATAGGGTATCCAAATTCGGGTAAGGAATCTCTATAGATATAAGAAGATGTGGTATGAGTGCCAATGAGACAACTCTCCATCCAAGTCAAAAATTAATAAAAGTAAACCATTATAGGTCACAGTACGGTCTTCAACACGGAGCCTTGGCTCACACCGAACAGTAAGCTATAAAGGGCCCCAAAAATTTACTAGTGTAAAACCATTCAAACGGGAAAACCAACATGCATGATTGTCTAAATCTCTAAATAATTCTGTAGAAGTTCATAAATGCAAGTAAATTCAAAATAATATCAACAAAAATGTGTTGTCACTGCATTGTATGCTATAAATCCATTCCTGTCCTTTCGAAACTGTCAGGTTCAGAAAAGAGATCATGATGAAGTTGAAATATATTTCAATTGGTGTAAGGTTAATAAGCTGTCGTTTAGATTTGCTCGCTCTCCTTTTTAAATCATGCCTAGAATACTGTGTCCATTATCTTACCAATGACGTGCCACATTTCTTATTGTCAGGAAACATAGATATACGATAAGAATAAACTCAGAGTATATAAAATACCTAGATCAATACCATGAGCCACTTAAAACATTATAACATTTCAATTTATCATCATGGTAAAATTCTGTAAATTGTCATCTTTATACATTATATAGCTTATTTAAAAGAATGTCTTTTTATCAAAGACTCATTTGGGGGTTTTTTTCGCCATTTTTTTGGGACAGAGTAGTGATGTCGAACCACAACTCGACAAAATCATCATACCAGAGTAGTTTAGGAATATTTATTATGTGCTGTAAAAAACTATTCGTCCCTACTGTCTTGTTTAACAGATGTTTTTGGGTGAAGTAATTAAATTTGTATTATGTTCTTTTAGTATTTGACAGCTTTGGTTGGAAGATTTTCTTAAAATATATATAGCTTGCAAATATTAAAAAAAATGATTCAATTCATTTCGTGAAATGATTGACTAGTAATACGTTTTCTTATAAAAAGGATAATGGCGCGCTTATTTTTAGAAAGAAAAAAAAAGAAAAATTATTTGTTAAAAAAGTGTCGCCTTTTGCTGTAAATGACTTATTCACTTATTGAAAATAGAAATCAACTAATTATTTAAGTTATAATCAAATTATTCCGTTTGATTTGAAAATCAGGTGGTAGGATAAGATCTTTTATCTCGTCCAAGAAATTAGAATTTTGTATCATTTCTAAATATTAATGACAAATTCTCAAACCGTACTGTTTTGCCGGCTTTGCAATTTTGTATTGAACTGAATAAGTTTGAAGCCCTTAATTGTTTGGTTTTTTTTTTAGTTCTGAAATTTTTTTTTGATCACCATAATGTGATTTTGGATACTACTTGCAAAATATTTGTTAAATGACTATGCATTTTGGACATTGTAACTTATGAATTCCAAAATAAAAGTGGAAAATGGAAGTAAAAGGAAGAATTCAAATGGACAAAATTCAAGCGGTGAGAAACCTAGCAAAATAAAACAGAACACTACTCACACTGTTGATAAAGGTAACAAAAATGTCAACAATGACACCTGTGATAATGGCGTAGTGAATAATACCAATGTTAAAGCGGTAAAAATGAACCCCTATATTCCAAATTGAGACTCCTCTGTATCCGTGTACCCTACAAGGACTGACACATCCGAATATACAACCAATAGTGCAGTTTACGATGAATCAAGCGTCAGACAAAAAAAAATTGATAGCCTAGTGCAGAAAGTCGACAAAATGTTCCAAACATTGAGCGTCTTCGATTCGCTCTCCGATAAAATTGGCAAGTTTCATTCAACAATGAATACATTGGTGTCAAACTTTGGCAATGTTACAAAAAGAGTCGTCAAAATCGAAAAGAGTTTAAAATTTTTAAATACAAAATATGAAACCAGTAAACAAGAACAAGATACAGTTAAGAGTGATATCGAAGAAATCAAACAATGCTATACAGATGTAAGTTCCAATATAACAAATTTCTGCACGGATCTAGAGGATCGTAAAGAACGTACCGTTGATTTACAAACCCGATCCATGCGGGAAAATCTTGTATTTTCTGGAATACCACAAACAAACCCCGACTAAGAAAGTGAGGAAATGGAACAAATACTCATACACTTTATGAAAGCCTGCTTAAGAATAGAAAACCCAGTTGAATTCCGACGTGCTAACCGCTTCGGTAAATCCGACAAAAATATGAGACCGATTGTTTGAAGATTTAAACCTTTAGAGATCGCGAAATAATAAGAAAATCAGCCAAAGAGTTTAAAGGAACAAGGTACGGTATAAGTGAACAATATCAGAAAGAAAGAAATGTCAGGCGCAAAGTATTACTTCAAATTGGCAAATCAACAAAAGAAAAAGGGGTACCTTAAATGAGACAAAATTTTTATAGATGGTACAGAGTATTTAATCCCAGACGACAAAGACGCGCACCCGACAAATAGAAAACGATCAACACAACAGACGTATAAACAGCAAGGGGCCCGACCTAAATATCCTCGCAGAAGACCCTAGAATGGACATTCTCGACCAGGTCATAAATGGGTGAATCATGGAGGATCAGCTGACCGTAGTAAACATTTTCTAAATATACTGCCGATATTTACCCAAAGGAACTTACTTTAAAAAAATCAAATGTAAACGGTAATAATTGTCCTTTCCTAGATTTAGATATGTTTTACACGGGAAACTCTACAATAAAATTTACGGCAAAAGGGACAATTTTTCGTTCCCTATTGTTAATTTTCCTTTTTTGGACGGTGATATTCCTGTCTGTTGTGACGTTGACTATGAGGGTCGGTTGAAAACAAAACTTTACGACAAAAGAGATGATTTCAGCTTCCCAATTGTGATCTTTTCATTTTTAAACCAAGAGTTCCAAATGGTGCAGTTGAAATCATCACTTCGTAAATTTTACGAACGCCATCACGAGTTGGTTGACCGTTATGGAATATCCGTTTCACAGATGATATCGGATATGTTCCTTATGTCGTAACTACAATCCCGTTCCCTTTTCACGAATGTGACCTACCGAATTAGACTATTTACCGACTTTGAAATAACATGAGCAACACGACGGGTGCCACATGTGGAGCAGGATCTGCTTATCCTTCCGGAGCACCTGATATCACCCCCAGTTTTTGGTTGGGTTCGTGTTGCTGTTGTACCCCTATTTGTGACATTTTTACCTATTGTGTCTGTTTGTTTTGTTTACACATTATTGTCAATATATAAAACCTTTACTAAATTCTTCAATAGATATAAAGATTTGGTTTGGAAGTTTGGTTGTACCTGTAGAAAACTTATTTTTAACGGGATGGCACGTCCTAATTTTTACGGAGATGTTGTTTACCGAGCACGGAAATTTATACGATCCGGGTAAACTTATCGATCCTTTGAATAAACTTGTTCTAAAAGGTTACCAATTCAACACTATAATTAAATCTTTGAATATTGTTTTTATTGGTATTAATATTGGTTGTGTTATCAGTAAATTAAAATCAAACTAAATATTATTTCTATATACATATGCATATTCATGGCTCTACAATCTGTCGATAATTGTATCTTGGCATTGCACAAGGTCATGTTTTTCTCTGACTGTTAATGACGTCTTTACACTAAATCCATTGGATGTTGGATGTGTACTGATTGATATTTTAGTCTTAGATGGATGATTTGTTTTATTAGTTTTTATTGGCTTTGAACTAGCTGTCAGTAACTGCGAGTACTCTCAGATCTGTACTTAATGTCTTTTTGTTGTGGGGATGTATAAGTACCCTGCAGGTTGCATTTCTGTAAATATAGACAGTGCAATTTCCCATAGGAACTCCCTTTGCGGCTAAAACTGTGCCAAATTTACTATGAAGTTTCGTAAAAAAATATATCCTAGAATGGAAAGCTGATTTGGATACTATTTTATTCAAAGGTCAAAACATAGGGCTGTGCGGCATATTTTCAACATTTATATGCCCTGAACTTGTTAGAGTTTAAACTTACACTAAAATTCTGTACTATTCCTACCTCCACTTTGTGCCTATTTCAGAATTCAATTTTCACCGCAACAATATGTTTTTATACTGGTAACAGTCCCAAGTTATCATATCCGGGAACCAGTACGTAAACAAATCTCAAGTTATCTATGAATATTATATATCTCCCCAAAAGAGGCGTGGTTTGAGAAACAGCTGTATTTACAAAGTGCAACCTGCAACGTCCACTCTGTGTTTTTGTTACTTGTTTTTGCTTGGTATCGATCTGATGAGTTAAGCCCTTTTCAACAGATTTTTATAGTTTGTTCATATGTTGTACTGTTACACCACTGTCCAATGTTAAGGGAGGGTTTGGCGTCCGCTAACATGTTTAACCCCGTCACATTCTGTATGTGCCTGTCCCAAGACAGGAGCCTGTAATTTAGTGTTTGTCGTTTGTTGTTGTGTATCATTTGATATGTCTTTCGTTCATTATTTTGTACATAAATTAGGCCGTTAGTTTTTCTCGTTTGAATTGTTTTACATTTGTCATATGGGGGCCTTTTATAGCTGACTATGCGGTATGGGTTTTGCTCATTGTTGAAGGCCAAACGATGACCTATAGTTGTTAATTTCTGTGTCATTTGGTCTCTTGTGGAGAGTTGTCTCAGTGGCAATCAATCACATCTTCATATTTTTCTATTACATTTTTATCTTGTTTAGGAAAAGTTTTTACATCCATTTTGAATGATAGAATAAATGTTTTTATTGAAGAATATAAGTTATTGCATGAAAAGCAAGCTAGTTTTCGACATGGTTACTCAACAAATGATCACATATTTGCATTGTATGCATTATTTGAAATACTCTTTCTCAGAAAGAAAAAGTAATATTGTGCTTTTGTCGATTTCGAAAAAGCATATGACTTTGTTCACTAGCATTCATTATTTTTAAAAGTTGTTCAAACAAATATTACTGTCATTTTTTTAAGAATTATACAAAATATGTATGAACATGTAAAATCTTGTATTAAACATAACAATGACATTTCAGAAATCTTTTTCTCTGAAATTGGAGTAAGACAGAGAGAAAATTTACTGCCTGTACTATTTTCACTGCATCTAAATGATTTGCAATCATATCTAGAAACACGAGGTATTAAAGGTGTAGATTCTATCAGCAAAGATACTGAAAATGAACTTACAGTATTTTTAAATATATTTTTGCCTCTACATCCAGATGAGACCATTTTATTAGCAGAATCTGTTGAAGATTTACAAATTATGCTTGATTATTTTTCACAATAATGTTTAATGTGGAAACTTATAGTAAATGTGGAAAAAACTAAAGTTTAGATTTTTTCAAAAGGCAGGATGTCAAAAAATACTTAATTTTATTTGAATAATAGAGAACTAGAAATAGTTATAGATTATAAATATCTTGGTATATTCTTTTGTAAAAGTAGATCATTCCTGTCCACAACGTATCTCAAAGAGCATGCAACTAATGATTTCCTTGATAGAGGATTGCTGCTCACAAGGAAGCTATTAAGCCAAGAGTTCCAAATGGTGAAGTTGAAATAATCCCTTCGTAAATTTTACGGACGCCATCACGAGTTGGTTGACCGTTATGGAATAACCGTTTCACAGATGATATCGGATATGTTCCTTATGTTGTAACTACAATACCCTTCCCTTTTCACGAATGTGACCTACCGAATTAGACTATTTACCGGATTTGTAATAACATAAGCAACACGACGGGTGCCACATGTGGAGCAGGATCTGCTTACCCTTCCGGAGCACCTGATATCACCCCCAGTTTTTGGTGGGGTTCGTGTTGCTTAGTCTTTAGTTTTCTTTGTTGTGTCATCTGTACTATTATTTGTCTGTTTGTTTTTTTTATTTTTGGCCATGGCGTTGTAAGTTTGTTTTCGATCTATGAGTTTGACTGTCCCTCTGGTATCTTTCGTCCCTCTTTTATTTATGGATTATTGAAGAAATGTAGAAGAAATAACTTTTATTTTGAATGTCAAATTGATTTGTTTCAAAAATTAGTAGAACATGTTATATTATATGGATCAGAAATTTGGGTTTTTGAAAATTTAGATGTTCTTGAAAGAATACAGTTGCGATTTTGTAAAATCATATTGCATTTGAAGCAATCAACACCCAACTATATTGTGTATGGTGAGCTAGGAAAATTTACTATATCACTACAAATAAATATACGTATGATAAAATTTCGGTGTAGACTGGTTAGAGGAAATGAAACAAAATTTTCCTCATTATTGTATAAATTGTTAAATGTTTACTTCACAGATTAGGGTTATGAATTTAAATGGTTAACATTTATATTTTAGATGATTGTGGTATGTAAAATATTTGGCAGAAGCAAACTGATATTTTATTTCTATTAACCATATTATATGTACATCCTTTGTAAATTTAGATGTGGTAGTCACCGATTGCCATTCGAGTCCGCGAGATGACGCAATTTGCCAAGAAGCGAAAGAGTGTGTCCTCTCTATGACTCGATGGAAATCGGTGACGAATACCACTATATTATGTCATGTAGCTACTTAAATAATGGTAGAAAAAAACTGCTTCCCCCTTTTTGTCATGAAAATGTTATCATGTATAAGTTTAAACATCTATGTTCTTCAAACAATGTATTCATATTAGAAAAACTGTAAATTTATTAAGAACGTCTAAGAGAAGGTCTTCCTCCAGCTGGTTAGAACCGTTAAATGTTTATTATATATGTAATTCACACATGCACTACAAATTTGTATATTGTTGATATGTATATGTTCTATGTAACATTTGTTTTATGAGAAAAAAATATTCATTCATTCATTCATTCATTCATTCATTCATTCATATATGAAAAAAATAATTGATATCTGACAGACCGAGGTCTAGTAAACATCTGAAAAATGTTATCTTATATATTTATAAGAATTTTTGATTTTCTAATTCACGGGGTTAAAAAATGATCTTATCATACCAGCATTTCCTTTGCATTCAACCTATGGTACGTCTAACGATTGGTTCTAAATTGCTTATTCCGTCTAGTGGCAAATTTTCCTTGCATTTTCAGTTCAAGAACAATAAACCAACGGCAACATCGATAAGATCTGAAATGTGAGTTTACTTTTAGAATAAGACGACCATCTTGGTTATTGTTTGAAACTAAGGTGTATTGGGTAGGAGTTTTAAAACAGGTTACCTACCTAATCCTCGAATTATTATACGGTTTCTCGTGTGTGCATTTGCAGTCATGTTCACAGGACGTACGTGGATATCAAAGCATTCAGAATAGTTGAAAAGACTCTCTCCTGCTACCTGTTCTACGGTCAGTAGGGATAAACTCTTATTCTCAATTTTCCCTCGAGTTGTATTCTATTAAGGTTGTCATATTATCATATAAAGTACCATCAAGAACATTGATCCGTCTATCACATAATTACACATACTTTGGATTTTTGTATTAACGTCTTATTTTCTTTTACAAGTGCTGATTTCTCACGTTGCAATAAATAATTTTCTTTTTCTTTTTCTTCTCTTAAACGTTTCTCGTCAACAATTTTCTTTCCTGTCTCTTCTCTTTCAGCAATCAGTTGGTCAGTGTTACGTCTGAATGATCTTTCTTTAGCCTCGTGTATCTGTTTTAATCTAGAAACTTCTTCGTCAAACAATTCTTTTTTTTTTTTGAACGACAGTTCCATCTCTTCTCTAAGTATTATTTCCTCTTCATTTATTTTGTTGTACTCATCTTGTAACTTCCTTTCCTTCTCCTCTCTTTCAGCAATCAGTTGGTCAGTGTTACGTCTGAAGGATTTTTCATTTTCCTCATGAATCTGTTTTAATCTAGATACTTCTATCTCAAACTCTTCTTTTTTTCGTTTAAATGACATTTCCTTCTCTTCTCCAAGTATTTTTTCTTCTTCCCTCATTTGGTTGTATATATCTTTTAATTTCCTTTCCTTCTCTCTTTCAGCAATTAGTTGGTCATTTTTACGTTTGAATGATCTTTCTTTATCTTCTTGTATCTGTTTTAATCTAGAAACTTCTATGTCAAATTCTTCTTTTTTGTGTTTGAATGACAGTTCCCTCTTCCTTATCCTTTTTTCTTCTTCGCTCATTTGGTTGTATATATCTTTTAATTCCTTTTCCTTTTCCTCTGATTCAGCCATCAATTGGTCATTTTTACGTCTGAATGATCTTTCTTTTTCCTCAAGTATCTCTTTAAGTTTAGAAACTTCTTTGTCAAACTCTTCTTTTTTTCGTTTGAATGACAATTCTTTCTGTTCTCTTAATTGTTTTTCTTCTTCGTTCAATTGCTTGAACATACCGATTACTCGTTCCTTTTCAACTTTATCAATTTCATATTTTTCAATTTTTTCTTGAAGTTCAATATTTCTTGCTTCTTTTATTTGTTTATGTCTAATCTACAAAACAATTAAAGGAACAATATATAATTTTGGCTGTAAAATGAAACTAAACATTCTTTTTTTATACCATTCTTATTTATTACACACAGTTTAACCAAGGATCGACTGCAGAAAAGTATTTTCTTTCGTTGATATTATTGTATGATCGTAAAATAGAAAATTACTAGATCTAAACATACAAAATGGAAACAAAACCCTTGCGTAAATAACATCAAATTAGATTTCTGATGAGATTTGTTTTCTGTTAATAAAGACATCGCTTTCGACAGTACTTCCCCAAATCGAATGTCGAACAATGGGAATAACAAATTCACTAAATTCATATCATCTCATTTCCTAGAAAAAAACTCTTTGAGAATACACTGATTTTTTACGTCATTTACGCGTTATATGTGCAAATTTGATCCCTACATTTTGGAACAGACAAGATCATTGTGGCAGCTTAAAATTGTAAATGCATATTTGTATACTCATGTACATTATTCATCCCTACCATAATCTGATTGAAATAAAAATCCTGTGCCCACGCTTCGCTAACAAGGATCTGACGACGATCCGTTTTGTTTTCTGTATTCAGACTATTCGGAATCCTCTGGTCTTGTGCTCATGATCCACACCTTCAAAAATTTGAAGGCAGAAATTTTATTGGTTGATGTAATAATTACCAGAAAAGAGGAAATACAACGAAGTGCTGTCTGATCCTCGAAGACGAAGCATGTATTTCAAATCAATTTGACAAGTCTGTATTATATCTTGACTTACAATTGGTAAAATTGAGAATTATGGTCGGTTGAGAACTAAACTGTTCGACAAAAGAAATGATTTCAGCTTGCAAATTTTAAACTTCCCAGCAGCACCTGCATATGATATGTATTTTCTATCATTATTTCCTTGATAGGCGTTGATGGTTACAAAGAAAGCTTTGGAATACATGTTGCTACTACCATAGGGTCGATAACTCTGCTGATGGACTGTAAGTCCCCGAGGGTATCATTAGCCCAACAGCCAGTACTTCGGTACTGGCATGAAATACTTATATTGTGTTATACAATTTGCAGTTAAAAAAAAATTGGAAATTATTTTGAATTAAGGAATAAATCTTCCTCGTGCAAAGCTCTGATTCCTTGCCTAGGTGGTACATTTATATACCACTTATTAATACTATTATATATGTTGACGCGATCTGACATTTTGAATAGTAATCAAAGGGTAGTACGTTCGAGTCTAAAAAAAATTCACAACTTAAATTAATGTAGATATTCACATTAAAGTAAAATATTTTAATTACGTCCAGTTTACCATCAATGTATAACTTTCGTAAGCGATTATGACTCTAAAAAGGGAATTTATATTATGTTTTACAGACATTTTTAAACCGTTTTTCATAAAACTGTTGAAAGAAAAAAATGACTGCTCTCCGTTTTCATCGCTTATTAATATATGAGCAGAATGAAAATACATGCTTTATACACAAAACTGATTTGAATATATTTCCTTTCATTATTACAGATGACAACATATGAATTATAATGTAGAGTTGTGGTCTTCGTCGTTTCAAGTTACTTTAGGGGCATCATTTGTCATCTTCAAATATTTAGAGTTTTCAAATCTTACAAATATAGTCAATGTAAAGAAGGTAGGTTGTATTTGAGAGTTAGTATTAATTTCAAAGCCAAGAGTAAACCAATGAATAAAAGAAGATGTGTTATATAGGCTAATGAGACATCAACATAATGACACAGAAAAACCATGGGAGAAATATTTTGATTTAACGAAAACGTACATCAAAAGTGAATTTCGACCTCGTTCATCCTATCTACGTTATCACATCAATCTGACTGTCTCTGTAGCACTGTAGTAAAGAACAAAACTTAATTTGTGATACTTTTTCATATTTATTTTCAAATCAATTCAAACATTTTCAATACACATTTTGCACAGGAAACATAATGACACTGTATGAAGCTGTATAATAGAAAAGAATGGATATGGGGTATCCATCCATGGCACATATGCACGACGATTTTAACAGTTTAAATATTTCCATGGAAACAATTGACCATGAGTGTAAAACTTACATATAAATAAGATTCTCAGTAATTACTAACAATGTTATTCATAGACGCAGTGCATAAAAAAGAATCAATCATTTGTTTTAGATAAATGAAAGGAATGTAGGACATGATATTGGATAGACTTCGGACTGTTTTGTTTTTTTTTAAGTTAAGAAATCAGATTTACGTGTCAGGTAAGTTTATCAGAATATATAAGAATAAGAACGTGTGGTATGATGACCAATGAGAAAGCTCCCAACCAGAGAGCAAATGACATAGAAGGTAACAACTATAGGCCATCGTACGGACTTCAACAATGAGCAAAACCCATACCGCACAATAAGATGTAAAAGGCCCCCAAAATGACAAATCTCTGTTTAATATGATAGACGACACTTCCAAAGCAGGACATGCTCATCTTCCAGAAAATTCATTGTATGTATCACTCCGGATTTTGTTGACTGGTTGTGCAGCCCTTTACTGTATTTGTTTAGATTCCTGTTTTCATATACTTCTTTTTATTGTCAATACAATTGTCTTGTTGATTCTAATTTTCATCTGCCGTTTTTTGCTCTTATGGCTGCATTCTGAATTCACATATAACGCATTGTTTACTATTTTTATGAATGTCCTAGCATCGTATATATTGTTTTACGATCTTTTCACTATTTTCAAATGTATTAAAATTAATCATAACTTTTTATTTCAGAAACACAGACATAATGCCATATGTATATCCTTAAATATATTTATCATCAATGTAAAAATGAAGTAGGCTGCCATAAACATAAAAATAAGGAATGGGATAATCACTCTAAGTTTGACATGCATAGTGACATGCATTTAAAGAGAGAGAGAGATAGATATGCTAATACAGGCAGATAAGGACATTAGAAAATAATTCTCAAAACGTGCATGCTTGCTTATTTCGAATATTTTAAATCTACATCTATAGAAGCCGAAATGCAACAAATCACGAACCATGGAATGAAAAAATTCTTTTATCAAAAAAATATTCTAGTCTAGAAGACCATTTGTATACTTTTAAAAACTAATTTTGGGTCTTATGCAATGAAATTATCATTCAAGCAGTAACACATTTGGTTTGATCAAAATCGATAGAAAGAAATCATTGTTTTTTTTTTATTTCAACACAGATGTGTTGTCGCACACCATGGTAAACAATTTTTATCATGTTTTAAAATTAATTGATTTACTGGTTTTGTTGTCTTCTTTTTTAGTTATTCCTTGTTTGTCATTCTGATATTGTAATGTTCTCTCTAATATATGATATGTTCATTATTATTTCATAAATTCATCTATTTTATACATCAGTCATTCATTCATTCATGCATTCATTCACCAACTCAATCAATGCATTCAATCATTCATTCATGCATTGATGCATAAACATTCATTCATTAATGCATTCATTAATAAATTAAAACATTCATTCATGCATTGATGCATTCATTCATTCATTCATTCATTCATTCAAGAGCACCTACTTAAATCAGAGTTGCCACTTGCACACTGATAGTTTTACATTGTCCTATATAGGAAATATCTGTATAGGTTAAATAAATTGAAGCACATGAACGAGAACGAGAACATTTGTATTTGCTTATATTGTCCTACAATATAACCAACGTTTCGCTGAAAAAGATTTGCTGACTTGATTGTCGTAGGCGATAGAAAAAGTTCATATTGAATGATATGGCCCACGAACTAGTATTTATCAATTTACCAAATGAATTTGACACAAATATGTGCCTAGCCTGAATATAATTTTTTGAAATCATAATGCAAACGTAGAATTATTACTGCATATTTACATAAACATATCATTGATTTATCATTAGTTATTCCTCATAATTTGACCTTATGGGGTGTGGTCATAAAATCTCCATTGAAATGACATTTGCAAATACATATACATATACATGCCAAATAACATTCACTTAAAGTCATTGGTTCCCCTTAAAAATGACCTAATCGCAATTTCGTCGAGGCTAGATAAAAATGGGGCACAATATTTACTGATAAGAAACATGAGAAATGAAGTTAAGTTTATTTAAGATATGAAATTGTCAGAGAACAAAATGCTTGATGAAATATGAATAACGTGAAAATTGTTATAGTTAGTGCAAAAGAACGAACCACAATAATATTGTAGTCATAATAAGGGAAAACTCTGATACAAAAGCAAATTCAATAAAATAAAATGGTGGAAAATAAACTCATCATAGATACTAGGATTAAAATTGTGTACGCCATGCGCGCGTTTCCTCTACAAAAAACGCATCAGTGACACTCGAATCAAAAAATTTAGTCAACGAGACTGCAAACCTGTCCAATGCAAGTTCATATTGACGTTACAATTAGACATTAAGGAGTAGTTATAGTAATACCAAATGTTGCTCATTCAAAATGAATTAAAGCGTTTTTTCCCTACTATATTTTCCCCATCGTTAGTTACCGACTGAGTAGCACAAAAATCATCAATTACTGCACAAGAATGTATAAATAGTTAACAACATAATTACATATAGTATCTACTTTATCGTTGTTTTAAACTTAGAAAAAGAAAGAACTTTACGGTATATCTCGTGGAACATTCACTTGATTCCCTTTTAAGGAGAATAAAATTACCAAGCACAACGTTTCAGCAATTGCCTTAAGTTTTAATTTTAAGAGTCATACTCTTGCAAAAAAAAAAGTATATTTGGACATTAACACATTATCCTATTTTCTACATAAGGAAATGCCTGTACCAAGTCAGGAATATGACAGTTGTTTTCCATTCGTTTGTTGTGTTTGAGCTTTTGCTTTTGCCATTTGATAAGATACTTTACGTTTTGAATTTTCCTTGGAGTTTGGTATTTTGTTATTTTATTTTTTATTACTAGGATACCGATTACAGCATGATTATATATGAAGAGG